GTGTGTGTGTGTGTGTGTGTGTGTGTGTGTGTGTGTGTGTGTGCAGGTTCCCCAGATGGAGATTGTGGGTCTTTCCATGCATGTCAATGTATTTTTTAAAATGACAAGGAGACATCCTTTAGCACAGTATGTTTAACACTTCATCAGCTTTTAAATGTCTCCCTCCTACAGGCAGTTATTAGACCGTGCTCAGGCAATACTACCATGCCTTCAGCTGTTGTAAAACAGCAGACGGTTCTCTGTATATAAATGGAATAAGACATTTCTATGCAATATTATTTGACAATAAAAGCCTTTTGTTTATAAGACTACATTTGGATAAGCTTGTGACTGCTGAAATGAGAGCTGCACTTTCTTTTGATGCAACTCATTTGTCGTTTTCAAAATGCAAAATTTAATAAACCTAAGTATGAACGCTGTGAAGTTTTAATAATGATAAAAAAACTACACAAAAAAATTCAATTACTAACTAAGAATTACTGGTATGACATCTTTTTAATAACATAGAATATATGGGTAGCCAACCTGTGAACCACAAATCATACAATTCAATGTGTAATTAATGAACAGGGAAATATTTTTTAAAAATGTGTGAATAAAAAGGGACTCTTTTCATGATAATAAATCGTGAAAAGATAACCTTTAATTCTCCATCTCTATTCTGCCTACCAGGCATGTCAAAGAGCATGCTAATACAAAGAGGGTCTATAAAGTTAAATAAAAGCATCCTTTACAAAGCTTCTTTAGAAGGAATATATGAATAGACAAGGACAGATTTTTTTTTTCCATTTGTATTAAATGTAAAAAATTTATTAACAGTTCCAGGCTTCATTATTAGGAACAAGGTGATGTACTAGCACAGCAGGGGTAATTGTCCAGGTTATATCAAACACACGGGAGACTTACTTCATCTGATTTACTTCAGCCATTTCTGGTATCTGTGAAACAGCTTTTCTGAACTTTTTCCAAGTAAGGTTGCCAGCTGTGAAGCATTAGGAAAATGACTTTTCATAGCTGCACATTGAAAAGGCCATGCAGCGCTATGGAATCATTAAAGGTCTATTTAGCCAATCCACCATAGAGAAATGCTTTGAGAGAGATGACAAGGCTGCTTTCTATTTTTAAAGTGATTTCCCCCTGCTTCGTCTAGCAGTCGAGTCATGATTAAAGTGATGCAAGATTTTCTTATTTTTTCACTGGGAGATTGGTTTTAGTGAACAATCAGCATGCTATTGACTGAAGAAAATGCTACTGGAGCAAACTCCAAAGAGTCTGAATGTTTCTGTCTATCACAGTCCTGTTAGAATAGAAATGGGGATCCCCTGCCATTTTGGCCCCTCTTTGCGTCAGTTTGAGCGAGGCTTCCGTCCAGAGATCGGTTCAGATACAGTTGTAATGGCCAATAGCCTCTCCTCCATCCTGGCTCTAACTGTGCGTGTGTCTGTATCTGTCTGTTTATCAATAGACTCGGACTTATTCTTCTCCAGGAGGAGAGTAATGAGCCAAACCCACATGGGCTCGTTATTAAAGGTAGAACAGAACTCTTGGCTTCAGAGTAGCTTATTGTTCTGGTTCCAATTGCTGCTCGTGCATAACTGAGATGGCTGCTGCTTAGTCTTTCTACACTGGTCAGCCACAACATTAAAACCACCAGCATATTATGTACGTTGCCCCTTGTGCCCCTGCTAATGGATTGCCAGCTCAGGCTTGTTCTACTTCAACCCATGGATCATTGGGCTCTGTGTTCAAAGTAGTTTTTGTAGTTCATTGAGTGACTGTCCTGCTGAAGGAGGCTGCTGCAATTGAGATATGCTGTTTTTTTCTCCTCCTTGAGGCCTTAAATGCTGATTTGTCAAAACTTCTGGTATCTCAAAATTATGCATAGGGTGACATTTTCATCTGTGTCCTGACACATTGGTCTTAAGTAGTGAGAGAGAGGTTTCCAACCTAAAAGATGCATGGAAAAGGACCCTTGGCATCACAAGGGGGCATATTTTAACTCAAAAACATGCAAACATATTTTCTTATAGTAGGTTCCAATGCAATGCTAAGAAGGAATAATTATAACAAGTGGTAAAAAAAAAAACAAATTGGAAAGAAAAAATGGATAAACTGCAAAAATCAGGAAGCAAACTCCAGTCTTTAGACTGAAAAACCTGTGACTTGCTCTGTAACCACCCCTCAAACCTCAAACCTCCTGATGTGGAGTTTCTAGCTCTTTTAAAAATAAAGCATGATCTTTGGGTATCCAGTAAGAACACACTGAAGCCACTTACATAACTGCTTAAACTTATAGGCCCGCCTACAGCTGCACGGACATGACTGAAGATCTTACACTCTAATTTTTATTTTTGAAAGCTAGATGATTGTGATAATATACAAAGCAAAAAAAAAAAGCCTTTAATATGTTTCCACGCATTTGAATACAAGATTATTAGTAACTCTGGTAATTGGGTAGTTCGACCCATGGTAGAAAGACACACACATAGACACAAAGTCGGAAAAGCCCAGAATGGAGGCAAGGAGAGAGACTAGTGTGACCGTAAATTACATAAGATATGCAAAAAAGAGTCTGTCTCTTATTGCAATGGTAGTGGAAACATTGATCTATCAGTAGAATTTTGGTACTCACGATGCTGAAGCAAAACTGAGAACTAGGTCTGAGCTTACTGGATACATCTTATTAAGGTGATGTGTCATCATCTTTCTTTCACTTTCACTCTGCTTCTTTTAGAGATTTTTGATGCATGGTCTGTGAAGGCTAAATCAGTGAGAGGGGGTGATAAATGAGCTTGGTTCTCAGTTACTGTAGCTAGGTGTAGATTTTATGTCTTGAGTAACTTCTGAGGCTTTGTGTGACAAAAGGCTCAGTGTGATGTGGTAGAGCTGTTTTAACAAGTTCAACAAATTCCAGTCTTTTGTATGCTTTAACTGTCTTGTATACACGCTTCAAACCAAACCATCACACATGACATTCCGCCTTTTGAAGTCCTGTTACTGCTCACAAAAGTGACACTGTTGAACTGTTAAAAAAAAAAGATACGCTGTTGCAGATGACTGTGTCTGGTAGTGACATGTTGTTTGTCATGCTCTCACACTGGGTTGCTGGCCTTGGAGACACGTCATCACTTTCACCTGTCATGTTTTGTTTTTTTTAACTTGGATTAAGACTGAGTCTAACTCTAATCTGTGAGAGGCATCCTTATTTTTTACTGGTTATTCTACATATGACTAACTGTGCACATGCTGGTGTTTGCATGTACTTTATGTACTTCCATTTTCAAAGTGTCCAAAGAAGAAAACTCTAAAGCAGGAACAATCACCAGTGACTTGCCCTACTTGCCTTATGCACAGTCTTACGCACTGTCCCTTGATCTCTCTCAAGGGAAATTGTCTCCTAACAGATTAGACACTGTTTTCTGTGCTTACCATCCAAGCAGCTCCACAAACACTGCAAACATTCAGCTAAGCACATACCCCCACCACCACCACACACACACACACACACACACACACACACACACACACACACA